GTAGTCATTGTCAATTCTGTTTGACTCTTTACCATTCCTGCACGACTGATACATACACACTGAGCTCGAATCCTTCTTCTTGGGATTATGTTGACAATCTGCACGGAAATGCTTATTCGAATCACAAATGGAACATCTTGCTACATCGCCTGTTTTGTGACTGATAGCATTTAACTCATCTTTATAGTCTGAGTTTTTCATTTCTTTTGAATTAAGCTGTTTGTCTCTTTCCCATGGTTTGCTGTAATTTCCAGATTTCCCTCTTTCTTTTGAATTACGCTGTTTGTCTCTTTCCCATGGTTTGCTGTAATTTCCAGAATTCCCTCTGCCATTGGAGTAATTGTTATAACCGCCACGAGAGAATGATTTCCTACCTCCTCGGCCTCGATTATTGTATCCTTGATAGAATGTATATTCTTCGTTATCACCACTGATATCAGTATCCTTTTCATCAAACTGACCCCTATGGTAATGCACATCCAATCCAGGTTCTACCTTAATCTTCACTGTGTCTAACTCCAATCTGGATCTACGACAGAAAACAGCGTCACCGAAACACCTCTTCAAACATTCCTCAATTGCTATACTTGTCAACGCTTGAGTCCCCATTGCAGCTTTGATCAATATCTGTTGATCTTTGGTCAGGTTGGCCTGAGTTAACAACCTGTATGCCAACATACTATCATGATAAATTTCTTTCTCGTCATTAAACAACTCTCCGATCCGGTTCAATCGTCTCCTGAACTCAGCGATATATTCTGCCATTTGCATTTGTTCCGGTCTAACAAACTTTTCTAGATCATCAATACCTAGAAATATACTCTGAGTATTATCCTCTTTAAAATACGTATCAAGCTCTTTCATCAGGTACGTTAAACCTTCAGTTTTCTTGAGCTCTGCCACATCTAAGCGTGTTGCAAAATCTCTTGCCTTGAAATCCTGGATTCTCAAGACACACACCGCTGCCTGCTTAGCAGCTGCTATTGAAGTTCCCAACTCCCAGATTCCGACTTCACGTTTCCACTTCAAGTAATCCATCCCCTCTGTCAACAAAGGTGGTTGGTCTCCTCCCATGTCTTTATCTTTTCTTTACCTGCTACCAATGATAATAAGATAAACACGATATTATAAAACTGGAATAATTAGATTTAGATAATACACAATACTATCTACTTGAACACTGATAATGAGATAATACACAATATTGTACTAAGTGAATCTTTCCTAGTCAATTGCTTTCCAAACTAACACACTCCACTACGCACTCGCACTGCAATGACTAACAAAGGTAAATAGTAATTCAATATATAATAACTCAATCACTTCAATTATATAAAGTACCCAAAACACTATCAATCAATGTAACTTCTCTACTACAATACACCGACACTATTACTTGTCTTCTGTTGAGATCTCTACAATACACCGACACTATCACTTGTCTTCTGTTGAGATCTGTGGAGTTCTTCTCTGAAGTTCTTCGTTCTGGAATCTATCTTAAGTACAATCCAATTGACTTATATTCACCGATAGTCCACACTGGTCACACCGACCGTACACTGTAATCTATCTTTTCACCGATAGTACACACACTGGTCACACCGACCGTACACTGAAACTGTAATCTATCTTCTCACCGATAGTACACACTTGTCACACCGAAGAACACGACTCCTAACACAAGTCCACCAACATACAACTGCAACTGGCGTGGCTAGTAGCACTGGTCCACCGTAGAGCAACCACCAACGTCGGGTAGACGAATATCCTCCAAGATCACATCATTTTCCTAGAATGGATTAAGTTATGTTAGTATGGTATTTAATGAATAATGATGTACTTTATTATATAATATCATCATTAACATCAAACCCCGGGGCGGAAGTTATATAGACGGGAATGTCTTCAGATCCATGAGTATTTGGGAATTCTTGGCGCTCGATTGTAAATATGGGCGTGGTTATCTTATCTGGGAGTGGTCTGAAAGTCAAATAGATGTCACCAATCGATTTCTTGGGTCAAAAAACATAGGTCTCAACACCCAACTTGCCCAAAAAAATTGCTTACATTTTTGGGAATTTTGACGCTCAATTGTAAATATGGGCGTGGTTATCTTATCTGGGAATGGTCTGAAAGTCAAATAGATGTCACCAATCGATTTCTTGGGTCAAAAAACATTAGGTTTGATACCCTACTTGCTTTGATTGAGCAAATATGAATTTATATTAGGAAAAGGTAAGATTTTCCCACGATCATATAAAAGGGCGTGGCCACAGACCTGGTGGACACATAACTTTTTGTCTACCCAAATTTTTTTTGATCTATAGACCCCAATAAACCCAAATAACATCACTAACCTCGTATACTCAAAACATTGTGCGGCTTTTCAGTCAGATACTTGATTATATATATCTCTCTCTCTCTCTCTCTCTGCAGTCCAAACAGACCCCAAACACTAACAGTCCCCCCTCCCCTAATAAGCTTAAGGTATAACATTACAGCGAAACTTCCGGGCTAATCCAATTATGACGCTACTTAAATGCAGCTATAACATATTACACAGTAATGAGAGAGAGAGAGCAATCCCCGTAACTCTTGCCGTTCTGCTCACGCAATTTTATGTAACATTTGTGGTACAAAACCATCAATTAAACCACTTACCATCGGCCGATTTTTAAAAAAATTTCCTATGGGCTTCATCAGAGTTTTGTCGACACTATACCGAAAAAATCAGTCCCGTAACTCTTACCGTTTTTTTTGTATAACCGACCGGAAATTACACACGGACAGACAGACAGACAGACAGACAGACACACACACACACACACATTCTGGTGTTATTAAGGTGATACTAGAAAGCCCCTGGGAGGAAGGTAATAGTATTCGTTGGTAGTCAGTTTTTATCGCATCAAAAAATGTCCGTCACAAGTTACCGTAGTTACCATGGTTACTATGTAACTTCCTCTTTCTCATCAACTTTACACGTGGGCGGTCGTATAACTATATATATACAGAGTACAGACAGACAGACAAAGATAATCTTTCGAATTATAATTAAGATTGTAGAAACCAAGAAACTGCTCTTTATCAGTGACAGTAGAAGCAAGAAAACTGGAAAAAACTGTCAGTTAAATTAAAATATATCAATTAAATATATCTGTTTAAGTTAATAAATTATGATGATTATTTAATTGACGATGTCAATTCATGGCAGCTCGGCGCAGCACAGTAACGCATCGCGCTACAAGATGATTATTTGAATTTTTCTTGATAGAGTGCTTTTCTAAAATGTTTTACAAGCTCTAAAGATGTAGTTTATTTACGAAGGATTCGAGCCTAACATTGTGTGTTTCCCTTCGTTTCGAATTGCGATATATCTGTTTTAATTTATAATTGGGCTGACCTGGGTCCAGGCCACCGCCGCCGCAGTCAACTTCACCCGTAATAGCGCCACAAAGGCCAGCGACAGCGCCGGCCCCCCGCTGCTAAAGCTGCGCATCCCGCACCAAGAGTACCAACACAGAATAATACGCCAAGAAGACCAGCAGCTGCAGATGCAACTGAACAGTGAACATGTTCCAGTTACAGCTGCTGTTCCTACTTCGCAATCACTTCCAGCACAATTGTACTGAGCAACAGAGCGGAGAGCACAGTGAGACAAACCACAAATTTAAACATTCTGTCTGCAGTAGATTGGGTCATTATTCCTATAAGTAGATAGTTGCGACTAGTTGCGATATTTGTCGACTCAAAAAATAACAGATTGATTTGAAATTAAACAATTCTTAGTGTCACAGTAAAAATGTTTGTGGACACTATTAGAACTCCCCCGAAAAGTCCTTAAGTGAATATTAACTTGTTAAAAATTCGGGTAAACCCCGAGCTGTGGTTGACCGTTTTGAAATGGAAAAAACATCAACCATTGTCATTACAAAAACCGAACCTAAAGATTAGTCGATCCTCGACAAGAACAACTTAGTTTTTGTGGTTGAATGTTGAATAATGTGACTGTCTTCTAGTGCGCCCCTCCTTATATAATAATACGGAATTATTCCTTCATAAATAACAACTCAGGTTGAGCGAACCATTCGCACAAAGGCGCGTTAAAAAAAACTTGAAATTATTATTTAAATGTATAATCAGTAATAAAGATGACAATATATTATTATTCAGCTATTTCTGGTCTAGTGTATGCAAAGGCAGCACGGTATGAGCAGGAATGTTCGTGTCTCTCTACCTGGGAACGGAAACGTAATTTTGTACAAAGTATATAATTTTGAGAGCACGGAACTACGATTACCAACTTTATTCTTAAACCTACTTATGTAAAAACTAATGGAAAAGGATTTTACCTCGAGAACAACTTCAATCCGTATAATGGTCCTTCAAGTGAGAGGGAGATCGGGAATCTTATCGTCGTTAGCTTACTTCTACCCGGAAACCTTGGATAGAAAATAATCAAAGAATCGTGCAAATTACTCTTTAGAGGATTTAAGATGGCAGAACGATATATATGAAGGATAATTTATCTAAGATAAATGGAATGGAATTGTTCATCAAGATCGAGATTGCTCCTCATTGTTTAAACTCCACTGCTAATCATTCCTCGTCACGCTTCGTCTTGTGATATGCTGGTCTGGTGCTCCTCATTAACCCCTCCATAAGTCCGTGGTAACTCATCAAGTGTGTCGAATTATTTGTTAGTTTTCTCACAGAAAGTGTCCTTTTGTTAATTAAACGTCAACGTATATTCCATTTCTGGTATACTTCTATCGTTAACAAATTTACTATCTTCTATGGAAATGGTTATTAACTATAAGCCTAAGTCATTTAACTATCTTTAAAGGAAGGTTGAAATTAATATAGAATTTCGAGGTTCCTTACAATCGTCAATTAATTGATAACCATTAAACCTAAAGGGGTATGTGATAGGGTCGCGCCAGAAATTTTCGAACTGTTCATGTTTTAGGGAACTTCTTAGAATTGAAACTCTTTGGAATAAGAGAAATAGAGTATTTACGAGAAAGGAATTGTATACTCGATAACTTAAAAGAGAAGGATTAAAAATGAACTGCCAGGTGATTCTAAACTTTCCTATATAGCTATATAAATGTAAAGGCACGTGACAAATAAATTACAAATATGAGGTATGAAGCTTATTAAATGATTGGATGTTTTGCAGTTGTGATGTGGCACGTGAAAGGACTAATTAAAAGTGCAGTGCAATCTAGGTGACAATGATTATGCTTGTGAGGTGAAAAGATGCTGAAAGTAGATTGTTAATGCGTGTTAGAAAATATTATAGTCACTAAAATACATGATTATGACATGTGAACACGTAAGGAAAATGGCTACTAAAGATGATATGATATAAAAAATAACTAAAATAACACGATCTACCCAGGCCCAAGCACAAATCATGCTGAAAACAAAGCTTTGGGTGAAATACCTGTAATTGTAGCTTCTGGTGTCGCACTAATGTCTTATTTAATTGTAAAAAAATAGCTGGGCAGTAAACATGAACAGAAACGCTATAAGTATAATTAATTCATATATACTGTAGTAGTATATGCCCAATACCCATATATACTGTAGAATACAAATGTACCAAATATTAAGCCACAATAAGATGTGGTATGGATCTTAAAAACATTTAAAATAAAATGTTTTTCGTTTAAAATTATTGATATTTTAAATTCCATAAATTTTCCAATACAGTTTTATTAGGAAACTGAAAGCTACACATTTAATGTTTAAATCTAGAGCTCTAGTATGGCTATAATTATATAATGATAGATTGGATCATGCAGCATGCATGCATTTTGGCCATAATCCATATCCGTCCATATTCATCCATATTCATCTTTATTTGTTTTATAATTACGGTGTTCAAACATTTTCAACGTGACTTTTAGTAAATCATGTTTATTGCAAATAGCAAAGTACCAAATAGAATTGTACTGATCGTCATGCTATATCCAGCATCTGAAAAGTTGTGATTATCTTCATTATTGGTCATCGTATCGTCATCCTCGCTATTTGTATCATCTTCGTCAATTTCTTTGCCACTTCCATCGTCCTTGGGATCTGAAGGAGATTACCGTCATTCTAGAAAAACAACTAAATTCATAAACATCTTTCAGGCAACTTAATGGGGGTGGGTGGGGGTGGTTGGTGCCAAATTGTCGTTTGAATTGTTTCCGCTGTTATAACTAACCGTCTACACTTTAAAGTCTACCTTATCGAACTTTATTTGGACGGACATTAAATGAACGCTGGAGCCCCTAACGTTCATCTTAATGTCCGTTCAAATAAAGTCCGTTCATTTAAGGTCCGTCCAAGTTAAAGTCCGTTGATTTTTTTCAAACATTTTTGCACTTCCAACTTTTTGTCCAGAATATGACTATGAGGAAGGGTTCTCCTTGGTCTGCCGGAGGCACAGAAAAATTCACTAGTACTATATGATGTTTTCAAGGGTCACTTGGCGGAAAAAGTCAACGAAATTATTATTTAATGGCACTCAACAACATAGTTCATGAGCTAGTCCCCGCCAACATGACAAACTTGTTCCAGCCTCTAGATATTACGGTAAATCGTGTTGACAATTGACATGGAAATTGTCCGACGTTGTTATAGTTCATATTACTCAGGGGAGGTAATGAAACAGTGCTAGGAAAGCTCCTTGTGATGTTAAGGTTAACCTAAAGGTTTCTAGGATAAAACCACTTCACACCGAATGGCTTGTAAAAGTTAACACTGAAATGCAGGACCGGGGTAGTTTGATAAAAAAGGTTTCCATAAAACTAAAAATCACTGATGCTTTAAGCATGGACTATTTCATGCACGAAACCCCATTTAATGAAGATGATATGTGATATAAGACATTGATCATGTACACATATTTTAACGTTTTTGCTGCTTAACGACTTTTTTTCTTACTTACTGTATAAAAATGGATTTAAAATCATTTGCTGAAATAAAAAACTTTTAATAAAATAAAAAAAATGAGGATTTTTGATGGTTAGGTTTTGAATGCCTTCTAGCGTTCATATTAATGTCCGTTCATAATTATGTCTGTTCATTTAATGTCCGTCCAAATAAGGTCTGATAAGGTATAGTAATTCATATCATATATACATGATATAGTTTAAGTTAGACTTACCATCTTTTTGGAAAGCCCTGTAACCGTCCAGTACTATATCCTCGGAATCTCTTGATCCAATATCTATGGATACTGTGCCCTTTTTCCAATTATTTGCCCACGACTGTGATGTACATTCTGACATCAAAAAGTTGTAAAGAATGACCCCATTGACATCTATTGTTAGCCTTAGTTCGTCGTTAAAAGAAACAGTCCAGATCTTTTCATTTTCACTCGGTATGGCTGCGGACAATTTTGCTGTGCCTGTAGCCAGGCAGCCGTTTGGATGTATGATCATCGCATCTTTAAATTGAATATAGAACATTCCGGTTTCTTCATCATCCTTGTTCAGAAAAATAACAGATATGTGATCTTCGCTCCCCAAAACGCTATCAGTTTTAAATTGTATTCCCGCACTATCTACATTTCCAGTTTGATTATAATAATCACCACTTCCGTCATTTTTGGTGATTGTGTCTGCAGCTATCCAGTCTTCGTCATCCCAACCGCTCACCTTGGGTTCTGATGGGGAGTTGTTTTCATAAATGAATTGATAATTGGTCCATTAAATTTAATTTATGCGTAATGTTCGAAATTATTTTGGTTCTATGATATGCTTATATGGCCTAAACTTAAAGATTAGCAAGATATAAATGGAAATAAGACAAGGGAAGACAAGAAATGGGAAGACGGGGAGACGGGAAGACGGAGAGACAGGGAGAGGGGAGACCGGTAGACGTACTTGCCCTGTAACCGTCCAGTATTATATCCTTGGAATCGTCTGTGTCAATATCTATGGATACTGAGCCTTTTTTCCACACTTCATTCCAATACGATACTGTACATTCTGACATCAAAAAGTTGTAAACGATGACCCCATTGACATCTATTGTTAGCCTTAGTTCGTCGTTAAAAGAAACGGTCCAGATCTTTTCGTTTTCACTCGGTAAGGTGGCGGAGAATTCTGGGTTAGCCACGCAGTCGTAAGGGTTGATTACCATCCTTTCCTCAAATTTTAAAATGAGCTTTCCGGTCATTTCCCATCTCTCATTGGCGAATACAATGTAGATAAGATCATTGCTCCCCAAAAGAGAATCAGTTTTGAATTGTACTTCCGTACTATCTAGTATGCTTGCACTTTGATTATAATATGTACCATCGCCGTAATTGGTGGTTTGTATAGTTGGATCTAACCAGTCTTCGTCATCCCAGCCGCTCACCTTGGGATCTGATGGGGAGTTGTTTTCATGAATGAATTGATAATTGGTCCATTAAATTTAACTTATACGTAGTGTTTGAATTTATTTTAGTAATACAAAATTTAGTTAGATATAACCGTGAAGTTTAATTCTGTCAAAAACTATTAAAGTGGAAAAAAGTCACACTTTATACGGTACACCCTGTAGGGAAGACGGGAAGACGGGAAGACGGGAAGACGGGAAGACGGGAAGACGGAAGACGGGAAAACGGGAAGACGGGAAGACGAGAAGACGGGAAGACGGGAAGACGGGAAGACGGGAAGACGGGAAGACGGGAAGACGGGAAGACGGGAAGACGGGAAGACGGGAAGACGGGAAGACGGGAAGACGGGAAGACGGGAAGACGGGAAGACGGGAAGACAACCCAAGAAACCTTACTGGCTGGAGCCTAACTTTGAAAGTAAAAGAGATAGCGTCTTCCGGTTTTTTGCAAAATGTTCGTTTCGCAAAAATAACATTTCCCCCCCCCCCCCCAGGGGGAAAATTGAAAACAACGTAGATTTTGAATTATCGCGAAAAGTCATATTTTAGGCCTTATAAAACTGCGTAGCTTTAACTTTGCAGATTGTTGTTCTCTGATTGGCTGAATCGTATCACGTGGTACGCGGTACAATTGCATTCTTGGAATATTTGAAGCGTGCAAATGCAATGAACTAGCGAGCGCGCGCGGAGTTCAACATGCTGTGAAAAGGCGATCACCCTGTAGTAATATCGCTAGCCAGTAAGGATTTCTGGGAAGAAATGGGAAGACAGGTTGACGGATGTTACTCGTCTAAATTTCTTCGAAGTAGCGTGCGTCGCTTTCTTCTCGACGGCAAGTGTTGACGGATGTTACTCGTCTAAATTTCTTCGAAGTAGCGTGCGTCGCTTTCTTCTCAACGGCAAGTGTTGACGGATGTTACTCGTCTAAATTTCTTCGAAGTAGCGCGCGCCTCTTTCTTCTCGAAATGGCAAGTGCTACGAAGTAGCGCGCGCCAGGCCAGATCATTAACAATGGTCAACGGCAAGTGCTACGAAGTAGCGCGCGCCGGGCCAGATCATTAACAATGGTCAAGAAGACGGGAAGACAGGAAGACGGGAAGACGGGAAGACGGGAAGACGGGAAGACGGGAAGACGGGAAAACGGGAAGACGGGAAGACGGGAAGACGGAAGACGGAAGACGGGAATACGGGAATACGAGAAGACGGGAATACGGGAATACGGAAATACGGGAAGACGGGAAGACGGGAAGACGGGAAGACTGGAAGACGGGAAGACAGGAAGACGGGAAGACAGGAAGACGGGAGGACGGGAAGACGGGAAGACGGGAATACGGGAAGACGGAAGACGGAAGACGGGAATACGGGAATACGAGAAGACGGGAATACGGGAATACGGAAAGACGGGAAGACGGGAAGACGGGAAGACGGGAAGACGGGAAGACGGGAAGACGGGAAGACGGGAAGACGGGAAGACGGGAAGACGGGAAGACGGGAAGACGGGAAGACGGGAAGACGGAAGACGGGAATACGGGAATACGAGAAGACGGGAATACGGGAATACGGAAATACGGGAAGACGGGAAGACGGGAAGACGGGAAGACTGGAAGACGGGAAGACAGGAAGACGGGAAGACAGGAAGACGGGAGGACGGGAAGACGGGAAGACGGGAATACGGGAAGACGGAAGACGGAAGACGGGAAGACGGGAAGACGGGAAGACGGGAAGACGGGAAGACGGGAAGACGGGAAGACGGGAAGACGGGAAGACGGGAAGACGGGAAGACGGGAAGACGGGAAGACGGGAAGACGGGAAGACGGGAAGACGGGAAGACGGGAAGACGGGAAGACGGGAAGACGGGAAGACGGGAAGATGGGGGAGATGGGGAGATGGGGAAACGAGACCCTGAACAGTGAAATTTTGGAGCCAGGAGCATTGCTCCTTAGAACTACATTTTTAAGTTTATAAGAAACAGAAATATAAACTTTAATTGATTTTATTTAAGATAGGCCCATAAGCTGACTAAATGAATAAATTCGTTACCTGATTTTGCTTGGTCCAAGGATGCAAGAATTAGCATCACTGCCACTAAATGAATCATTTCCACTTTTTCTTAGAGGGGGTTTGTTTTCTTTTTTTGTTTGTCTCCTATCTAAAAGTAGAACAGTGAGCATACTTAAAGTAATTAAAGATACAGTAACACAAATTGGATCATAATAAAAGGATGATGGCACTGCTGAAGAAAAATCAGGTCAAGATGACACTAGCTTCAACACATTTGTCACTCAGCTGATAAGTGAGCCTGTGCCAGGTGCCTGGACATCCATGGATGCTCAATTACAATCATTCTGGCCTCAATAATAAAGTTTCCTACAGGACAATTCATGTTTATTTACTGCACAGTAACAATCATATTTGAAAATTTTAAAAAGACAATACCTTATAGCGACATATAATAGAAATTGTAGGTTTACAACCTACCAGGACGCGCGCCGAGTTGGACAATATCAAATATATGGAACAGATATTTTACGAGTATCACCCGTTAAAATAGAAATACATAAATGAAATAATGAAAGTGATGTAATTCACTATTTCACTATTTGTTCATTTCAGGATATATATTGCGTATGATAAACCTTATTTGATACAGCATTATAAAAGGAGCAGTTAGTAAAACGAAAACAGCGCTACAATAAAAAATAATGGGCGACTAAATGATATATAAATACAATGGGTATGGTTTTCAGCAAGAGAAAATATGCGAAAAATTTAAAAAATGAGCGGAATCCGTCCTCAGCGATCAAGTCAAAGACACTTCACCCCTCTGTTTCTAACTTGTTTGCACGTTTTTTAGACTCAGTGACATCCACTGATCCAGTTAAATTCCCAACCTAGACATCTGAATCAGATTACGATTATATCTTTATTTATATTTCCGGGAACCGACACTTATAAGCCCCTCTGTCCAGGAAGCTAGGGACTTATTGATTCAATTCCACCTAATCATGATCCCTCCATTTACTGCGCTCTGATCTGATCTACCCCTATACTCTTATACTTCTAGATTCCTCGCATTTTTTGATAACATCTACTCCTAGATTCCTCGCATTTTTTGATAACATTTACTTCTAGATTGAATGAGAATAGACCATGCTGACCCACCAGATGAATTACTTCTAGATTCTTCGCATTTTTTATTTACATGATAAATATTTGTCTCTACTAGTACTACTACTAGTAAAAAAGCAAGTCTTTCAGAAGCTTAATATTAGATTTAGGGTAACATACGTTCCATATAACAGGAACCTGATCAGGCATGATGAAAAAACAGTAGAAAATAATATTAATTTATCTTGCCTTAATCCTTATTAATAATAATATTGGGGTCTTAAAGTACTATTTTACAGTCAAATTTCTGTTTTCTAAAACCATTCTTAAGGCAGCCAGCAAAGGAAATGAATTGATTTGAAACTTCCATCAAATAATACAGAATTATGCAGCAATGAACTTAGGGATCGTTCACATATTACTTAATCAGCCGGGGCCCGAGGGGGGAGGGGTTTTTCCAGGGGAACTGCAGCCCTCCCCCAGAAAAAATTGAACCCCAGAAAAAAAAATAAGCCCCCTAATCCCCATGGTCGCCTGGTAACTGGGCTGTGTTTATGACTGCAGTCGGTACTGTTTTCCCAAATCCCACTATACATGTACTTATTCCATCATCCTTGTCCCCTAGACCGTAGGAAATGTCAAAAGCTTAAGAAAATGAGAGAATGAGGCCTGAGTAAATCGTAAATTCTGATTGGAGAATGCAGATTGCTGTTGTGTTACCAAATTTACGTGAGTACTTGATTCTTTTCAGTTCCAGTTTATTGCTGTCCAAAAAATTTATTTAATGCCGAATGTCGTCTAAAACACCCATTTCTCAAAATTTATCTGGGGGGGCTGCGCCCCCTAGCCCCCAGCAAAGGCCAAGGGGCTCCGCCCCTGGACCCCGCCATGGGGGCTGCACCACCAGACCCCTGCCGCAGCGCTCGCCGAGGCCCCCCCCAGGCCCAAACAAAAATCCTGGCTACGTGCCTGATAACAACGTCGGACAATGTCCTTGGCAAAACTGGTGTAGTTAAGTAGATGTTGCTAGGCTTTAATTTTATTCACCGGTTTTTTGCCACTTCTTAATTTTAATATTATCTCACGCATCTATTTTATATTCGAACCTTTACCTTTTTATCTTTAGTTCTTCGGCCTTTTCTATATTTATTAGATTTTACGAGCCCTTTTTTATGAAATAAGGTTTTTGGGAGATAAGGACTTCTAAAATTGTCACCGAGTATTCGTCGGGATTTGGATTATTAGTTTTCGATCGTTACGAGAGCGTTTTATTTAGTAATAGTACATTACACTTTAAGTCTAAGTCTTGTTTAAATACAGACTACGTCAGCCTTCCACCTTTCTTGTTTATAAACAGACTGAGCCACCACATCGGGAATCGATGACTGAGTTATGAGCCAAAAACCATATGACCATATTTGGGCATACACACCAAATTTGATCGATTTTGGCCCATAAATTAATGGTCAAATATCAATATTTTTGAATGAAACCAACTTTATATGGAAGGTAAGCCTATAGTTATACTACACCTTCTGTATGATTATCAGCTCAGTATCTACCTACCTTATCGGACCTTATTTGGACGGACATTACTTGAACGCTGGAGGCCCTAGCGTTCATTTTAATGTCCGTTCAATTAATGTCCGTCCAAGTTAAAGTCCGTTGAAATTTTTTCAAAAATTTGTGCATTTCGAACTTTTTCTCCAGAATATGACAACTATGAGAACTTTATTGTGCCGTAAGTTAACGACGGAAAGGTTCTCCTTGGTCTGCTGGAGGCACAGAAAACTCTACTAGTATATGATGTTTTCAAGGGTCACTTGGCGGAAAAAGTCAATAATATAATACGTGACGTTCAGGAAAATTTGATGGACAAAGAAAATTGAAAATTGAAAATAAGACACAAGTCCGGAAATGAGCTGGCGGTGGGATCGAATGATAAATTAGCTTAGCCGACTGACTGATTCAACGAATCAATAAATATTTTAAGACTGTATAATTGGTGTGGAACAGCCCTTAAACATTCTGAAATTTCTGGAGGATTTCTGAAATTTCTGGAAATGATCTTACTTTACCTCACGTTTGCACCCGACACTAAGTGGACCGACAATGGTATGGGGGTCACGACATGATGGTATGGGGGTCACGACAATGGTATGGGGGTCAAGACTTCATATACAAATCTTAATCAGGTAACCGGAAGTTAACCCAGTAGAAGAATCTATGAATCTTTCCTAGCCGTTAAGTAAACATCTGCGGTAAGGTAATGCTTCCCTTGACGATAACCTAGCCTGCGGACATACTATGTTTCTAAGATAAACATATATCTCTGCGGCTATTTCTATCCTCAGGATGCCAGATAATGTGAAAAAACACTTCAGTTTATATTGGTCGTTCGCTTTTCTAATTCTGATTCATTCACGGCCGATTTCATTCTCGGCAACATTTCGCGTTTAGTACAGAAACGGTAATTTAAATTGATATCATTTCCTTTTATTTGGAAAAAGGAAACTTTTGTTACGTTCCATGCACTTTATATTATTACCCAATTTTGGGTTTTGGTTGAAAACTATTTCCAATGGAATTGAACGTGAAATAATTCAAGTTTAACTACAAGTACATGTATATTGTATAGTGTCCTAGTGACAAATAAAAGTGTCAATGCAATGCAAACATTTATATTTTATATGTGCCATTAATTTACGAGAGGGCCGCCAAAATTTTTGTCGAAATAATTTTTGGGAACTAAGAGTAAAATAATAGACGTTCTAATTGTGGTACGAGAGAGCATATAATTATAAGGACACGTTCATTTGAGTTTGAGGATATTGGTAAATATAAGTGACCCTATTAGAAGGCACAGTGTAGTTGACTTTGTCACACTATGAAATTACTTAAACCCTTGATGGTTAGGATAATCGTCTCATCCTCTAGGCTAACTTTGTCACATAAAGATATCTTAATCAGGTGATAAGATATCGCTTAAATACGGCCGGCACGGAAATGGTTACATTGTCACACTATAAACATGTGACGGAGTAAATATGGACCCCTTGCTGCCGTTTTTGACCAAATTTTTTAGTTTCCAGTTAATTGGATGGGTACATATGACCATTACCTACATATTTGACGACTTTTTTCGTTAGATGGTGCATTCAGGTTTACTCTGTCACACATTAAAGAAAATATGTGATGAATGTTTATGGCACCCTGATAAGCAATGCTGAGTAGTGTAAGTTAATTTGATAGCCTGGAAGTGCTGGGAATTGTCACAATGCTGGCAAGCATTACCGTCGCCCTTATATTCACAATACTATTTACCCCCTATACTAGTATATCCCCTTTATTGTTTTCCAGGCATTAAGACTCATCGAAAGTAGTTCAGCAGGCATATTTAAGTTCAAAACATTCTAATTCAATGTTAAAGATGACAGGAATAAGAAATAGTTATGAGGAGGTTTTTAAGAAATTTGCGCAAAATACGCGCCAGCATGTAATACGAAATTAGGTAAAAAACCCAAAATCGCCATATTCAGGTGCCTTAAAAACCATGTTAAAATTGAGTTAGAGATATGAAACTTTGCAGGGCGTCTAGACCTTGTCCAAATCGACTGTAAAAAAATTTCATGTTTCAGGAGTATCGGGAAGTGGGTTTTCTGGAACCCCTGTTTTACAACAGATTGTCGTGAAGTATATATACTATATATATATGTATGTATTTTACCAAAACCCATAATCATGGGTAGAGTGGACCGCTGCCAGTGTCTCTCTTTCCCAAACAAAAGGAAATGATATTAATTTGATTGACCGTTCTCAAATGCAAAATGATACCGAGAATGAAATCGGTCGCTCGCTTTTCCCATTCATTCACGGCTTACGAATTGTAATTAGTTTCGATTGATTACATCAATCAGATGCTGTACAAATCTCTTTGGGTTGCGTTCGGGTCGATACCTAGTATTTCGGGGTAAGGGACAAGGGTGGTAGTTATAACTTATTGAATAAACTGAAGTTTATTGAATCTTTATTGCCGAGTACAGCTGC